TGACAAAATTTTTTAACAGATCACATTAGAAAAATTGTTTGAGATAATTAAATTCCATCAAACAGATTAAATAATTTTGACTTTGATTATGATTTGGAATTGTAGAAAATATCCATTTAACTTAACTATTACACATAATAGAAAAAAGATATTAATATGTAGATTCAATTCGATTAGAAAATAATTTCAATCTTACCGCCATCATCTTCCGAATCACTCATGAAAGTTTCTTGCATTGTTTCTGGAGCAACTACTTTATACTTCTCTTCAATCACCGTCGTCGTTGTCGTAGTAACGACTGTTTCTGTTACAACTTTTAAAGTTTCCACTACAGATATATAACCCAAACGCTGTGCAATAGATAATGGAGTTTGTCCTTGCTATAAAATATAATATTTAAATGTTATTATTTTAACAAACTTTATTTTGTTTTTAAAGTAAAAAGATAGAATAATACAAAATTATAATGCAAATGAAAAAATAATAATAAAACAATGCAAAAAAATCATTTTTAAAAACATATTTTAACGAAAACATCTGGTAAGTTTTGTAGACCATTTCTGATATAATATTTACTGTATTTCCTCAATTAAACACTTGGGGGATTTAATGTAATAAACCATCAATTAAACCTTATTTTTAAAATGTATAAGGGACGATCAAAAACTTTCCGTTTAAGGACATGGCTGCAGCATATATGCAAATTAGCGCATTGCCAATGTGGGTTATATAAGCACTGACAGCGAGGCGTGAGATTATTGTGTGAAAAATGCTGAAACATGAACAATGGCAATGTTAATACCACATGCATCCAAACAGGACCAATGTGCTGTGATTCTTTTTTTGGCTGCTGAAGGAAACACACCAGTAGACATTCAACAGAGAATAAAGAATGTGTATGGAGAAGAATGCCTATCGAAAACCACCATAGTGGAATGATGCACAAAGTTCAGAGCTGGTTGCAATTCGACCCAAGATGCAGGTCAATCTGGAAGGCCAGCCATATCCAATACAGACAACAACAAGTGGGCAGCTGATGATGCGATTAGGGCGAATCATCGCATATCCAAACGTGAGCTTTCAAAGGATCTTGACATAAGCTTCAGTAGTGTGCAACACATAATCCAGCCAAAGTTAGGCTACCATAAAGTCTGCAGCCAGTGGATACCCCGGGCATTAAATTCCAAACAACAATCAAACCGGATGGCTGTTTCCCTGAAGCACCTGATGCGTTTCAATGTTGAAGGCAACACGTTCTTTGAGCACATTGTTGCTGGTGACGAAAGCTGGTGCCACCACTGGAAACCTGAGTCAAAAGCAGCGACCATGCAGTGGTGTCATCCTTCATCCCAAGAAGTTCAAGAGCCATTCATCTGCTGGAAAAGTGATGCTTACCCTGTTCTTCGATCACCAGGACCCATTGCTTATTGATTTCAAGGAACCAGGTGTCTCCATCACTGGGGTACTGCGAAATGCTGGAGAGATTTTGACGTGCAATTAAGGTGAAATGTCCAGGAAAACTGCAAAATGGGGTAATTCTGCTTCATGATAACGCACATCCCCATATGTCGTAACGTAGAAGTTATGTGCTCTAAAGTAGGAGACATTCGAGCACCCGCCTTACATTCCTGATCTCTCCCCGTGCAATTTTCACACCTTCAGTCCCTTAAAGAAGTCCTTAAAAGGTCGATGGTTCCAGTCAGACATAGAAGTGTAGCAGGCAGTTTCAGACTTCTTCAAGCAACAGAAACAGGAGTTTTACCAACAGGGTATATTCAATCTGGTGAAGCAGTGGGATGCTTGCCTAAATGGTCATGGCGCTTTTGCATGACTGGCATACCAAATGTGGACTGTACATCCTTCGAACGGGAAACTTTTTGATCATGCCTTATACATATCCTATGAGGATTTTTCAAGGCCAGGGTTGATCATCTTGCAGCAGGATTTAATTGATGAGTAAATAAAAATTGAAAGAAATACCTTAATCTTAATTTAAAGGTTACAGTTACAACATTTGCAATAATTACTGTTTTCATATCTAACCCGGTATCTAATTCGGGTAGCACTGCATCAGGAGTTTCTTCGAGTCGAGGTCTCTTTTGATAAGGAACAAGAAAGTGGTCTAAAGTTGATTGTCTTACTCTCTTAATCAAAATTTTTCTAAAATGCACTAGCACAGTGTTGTTCATTAAATTAATGACCCTATTAGCCACAGCTTTGTTAGGATAGTTCTTCTCAATAAATTCCTGCACATCATTCCATTTTCTGCAAATTTCCTTGATCTCAGCACTGGTGATTTCTTCCCTAGTCTCTTCCTTTGACGAATGCTTTTCTTGTAAGACTTTCATCTGTTCTTACTGCATGGCAACCAGCTCTTCTGTCATTAGTTCATTTTGATGGTCTTTCAGCAACTCCTCCACGTCTGCATCATCTACCTCTACTCTCAAACTCTTGCCAATGGACACGATTTCATGCACTACATCAGGAGAGCTCTCTTCTTCAAATTCCAGAAAGTTTCGCTCTGGGACACAAGTTGGCCAAAGTTTCCTCCAGGCCAGTGGCAAAGTGTGGTGAGAGACCTCACTCCAGGCTTTGTCAATAAGGTTGATACAATGCAGGATGTTAAAATGCTCCTTCCAAAAAGCTCTAAGAGTTAAGTCGGTATCATTGGTAACCTGAAAACACACGGTAAACAGTACCTTGGTATACAGCTTTTTAAAATTGGAAATCACTTGCTGATCCATTGGTTCCAGTAATGGAGTTGTGTTGGGTGGAAGGAATTTGACCTTGATGAAGTCATGTTCACTATCCAAGTCGTCCTCTAAATTTGGTGGATGTGCTGAAGCATTATCCATTAAGAGAAGACATCTAAGAGGAAGATCCGTTTCCTGAAGATAATTTTTAACAGTAGGAGCAAACACTTCTGTGAGCCAATCCATGAATAAAGTCCAAGTTACCTATGCCTTACTATTTGCCTTCCATTATACAGGCAGTTTGGACTTTATCACATTTTTGCTCTTAAAGGCACGGGGATTTCCAGCATTGTAGACTAAAAGTGGCTTGATTTTGAGGTCACCACTTGCATTAGCGCAAAATAAAAGAGTGAGTCTGACCTTCATGGGCTTGTGCCCGGGAAGTGCTTTCTCTTCTTGGGTTATGTACATTCGTCTAGGCATTATTTTCCAAAACAGACCGGTCTCATCACAATTAAACACTTGATTCCAGACATATCCTTCACTTTTTACAAACTCTGCAAATTCATCTACAAATGCTTTTGCTGCCTTTTCATCTGAACTTGAAACCTCCCTGTGTCTTATGACATTGTGAATGCCAGTTCATCGACGAAACCTATCAAACCACCCTCGGCTCACTTTAAAGTCCTGCCTGTCTTCACTTGTACTGGTTGTCTGGGTCAACAAGTCATTGTATAAATTTTTATCCTTTTCACAAATTATAGCTTCACTAACACTGTCTCCAGCAAGTTGCTTTTCATTAATCCATATTAGCAACAGTTTTTCAACTTCATCTAAAACTTTAGATCTTTGTTTCGATATCACATTCACTCCTTTAGCCACTTCAGCAGCCTTAAATGCTTTTTTGTTTTAATACTTGTAGAGATAGTCGATTTTGCCACATTATATTCTTTAGCGATGTCAGAAACACAAATGCCATTCTCATATTTTGCAATAATTTCTTCCTTTAATGCTACACTAAAACGTTTTCTATTTCCACTGTCACTTTTCTCTTTCTTCGGTGCCATATTGATTAAATATACAGTATAAATAACAAAACTAAAAAACAAAGTTTAGCACACTCAAAAAGCAATGCTTACCTCGCGCACGCTTAGGAGCAACTGAAATTTGTGAGGTTCCAGAACAGCTGGAAACTATTGGGTTGGTGCAAAAGTTTGTTCCGTTTTTAGCACCAGCTGGCTAAAAATGCAACCCTGAAGTGTTATTTCCTTCACATATGAAAAATTTCGATGTTGTTTGACAAAAGGAATCTCAGCTAGTATTTGAGAATAAAGTTGTGTTACTTAGTTGTGTTTTTAAAATTTTGTTAAGCATTACAAATGGCAGAAAATAAGGAGCATTTTCGACATATTATGCTTTTTTATTTCCAAAAAGGCAAGAATGCTCTACAGACACAAAAAAAGATATGTTCTGTGTATGATGAGAGAGCCATTGATGATTCCACATGCCGTAAGTGGTTCAGAAAGTTTCATGAAAGCAAGCTTACAAATTTGACACAAAAAGCTGTTAAGTTCATTATCCGAGACAAAATTTTTGCAAAATAAAAGTTTGTTAACTGATTTGGTCGTTAACCAGGACGTTCGTTAACCGGAATTCCACTGTACTCAGAGCTCACCCAGGAAATAAGGCATCTGTGGAAGATGAAAAGGGTGCTTATTGTACCTGTCATTCTCTCCTGTACAGGTGTGATACAACACACACTACACAAAAGCCAGGGAGCATTACAATTGAATAGAAATACATACATCACACTACAGAAGGCCAGTATATTGAATACATGCCATATTGTTAGGAAATTCCTGAATACAGACACTGACACACTTATTTAATTTTAGTTTTTGGTTGCTATGTCTTGACTCTGGTCTGGCATAGTACACAGCCACCAGTATCAACTGAGTATAACCCACTAAATACTGTATAATAATAATAATAAGCACAGAGTCCAAACGGTTGGGAGTTGAAAGTTGAAATTTGGTACACAGTTAGCATACATCACGAGAACATACACTAAGAAGGAATTTTTTGAAATTCCCCTGCGAAGGAGAAAGAAAAAAGGCTTATCCTAAAGAACTCAGCTTCTGCTGTACTATTTTAAATGCAATTTTTTTTATTTTTAACTGCATTTTAGTAGGGTATGCCATGAGAATGCACCCTAATAAGAAATTTTTGGAAATCCTTGTAGAAGAGAGGTAGAGGGTTAAGGATTACCCTGAAGAACTCAGCTTCTATTGTACTATTTTAGATTTGGTTTTCTGCATTTTGACTGCATTTTAGTAGAGTATGCCATGAGAATGCACATTAAGAAGGGCTTTTTGGAAATTCCCCCATGGGAAAAGAAAAAGAGAGAGTTAGTTTTAGTCAGTATAAAAAGTGTTAGTAAAAAAAAGGAAAGTAAATAGTGGCTAATGTAGTATACATTTTGGCAATAAATATTTTAATCATTTCCACTTTTCGGGTAACTCAAAAACAATATATCCAAAACAGACGAATTCAAACAAATATTTGAATTCATTCCAAATTCAAAAACTTCAAAATATTGAATTTGAAATATAATGTTTCACACAAGTTTTTTTAGATTTTAGAATTTAAAATTAATCATTTTATTCAAGTAAGGTTATCTATCACCAAGTAAGTTAATTCTCCATTATAATGAAAAATTTTCTGATTTTTTTATTTTATAGGTTATTTCATTTTTTTATTTTTTAGGTTACTTAAATAAAAAATCTTTTTAAATACTAAGAATTTATTCAGATAAAATTCAATAATGATTTTAATCATTTTTTTTCTATTACATATCCAATAAATAGAATAGTGAAAACAAAATTTCTCCTAATTTAATCCTAACCCTAAGAGTTAAAAATTGAAATTTAGTACACAGAGTACATCATGAGAATGTACACAAGGAAGGGACTTTCCAAAATTTCTCCCGCGGAAGAGAGGGAGAGTGTTAAGGATTACCCTGAATTTGGATTTTATTGTACTATTTTAAATGCGGTTCTTTTGCAGAAAATCAATCATGTTTTTAGACCCATCTAAAAATTCTCTAATTAGTCTCAGAAAAGGGTGAACCTAATTCTTGCACTCCAAAAAAATGGGTAAGATCAGCTATAATCTAATAATCTTAATTTTTGCTATCGTTACTTTTTGCCAGAGCAATGCTGGGCTCATCTGCTATTCTAATAATATAATCGAGATGGGTTGATAATAATTATAATAATAATAAGTGCAGATCCAAAATGGTTAGGAGTTGATAGGAGTTGAAAGTTGAAATTTGGTACACAGTTAGGGTACGTCATGAGAATGTACACTAAGAAGAGATTTTTGGAAATTCCTCATGCAGGGAGAGGGAGAGGTTACCGATTATCCTGAAGAACTCAGCTTCTACTGTACTATTTTAGATGTAGTTGTTTGTGTTTTTGCAGGAAATCAAACATATTTTTAGACTAATCTAAAAAACTCTAATTAGCCTCAGAATAGGGGGACCTAATTCTTGCACCCAGTGAAAATGGGTAAGATAAGCTATGATCTAATTATCTTAATCTTTGCTATAATTACTTTTCGCCCAAGCAACGCTGGACTCATCTGCTAGTATCATTATATTTATAACATTGACTAAACTGAAAGATTTTTCCAGATGTCAGCTCAAATTCTGCAAAATTCTATTTATTTTACCAAGTATAAGCAAAATTATTATAAGAAATAATTTTGTGTTGAGAGTTGTCAAAAACTGAAAACATTTTTATATAAAATAATTTGTAACTTACAGTGCTGACGATATTTGGAGATGCTTGGTTTTCCAGCAACAAGTTAATAATTAAATTATGGCCTTGCTGAGCAGCTTGATGAAGAGGTGTATAACCATACTAAAAAGAACAAGGACTGCATATTAGTTATTTTCATAAATTCTATAGTATAATTTGAGAGTATAGTAATAAAATTATTATAAATTATATTAAAAATATCTGGAAAAAGCATTTAATTAAAAATTGATTATAAATTAATTATATATTAGGAAGAAAATTTAGAAAGATATGATTTTAATCTTAAAATAATATAAAGAAATTTTTCAAACCAGTCAAATATTTTTTGAAGTACAAAACAATGATACGTTAAAAAAGTAAAAATATTTGTAAAATTTACCATATTTTTTTGCCTTATACCCATAAAAAGTATTTTTTTTGTACCTAAAATTTATCTGAAAATTAGGATGCATACTATAAGCCAAATGAAAATAATATTTTTCCCCTCAAGTTGAAAATGTGATGCATCCAATGCAATGGTGCATCTTAAAAATTAAATACCATATTTTTTGCCTTAAATCTTTTTATTAATAATATATAATAATATATCACTGCTTTTTTGCATATTTAAGAAATATCCAACTATTTTGTTGTAGTCTATAAAAATGTACAAACTTCATACCATATTTAGAATAAATTATTAAATCTTTGATCATATAAAATTATTTTAATAAATTAATGTTATCTAAATAATATGATTTTGATTTGTTTCTTTTAAGTTTTTCTTCTTTAATACTTTATTACAATGCAATACAAATACATTACAAATTACATTTGAAAACAATTACAATAAAAATTAATGCTCTTAAAATAATTGATACTTAAAACTTGTTTTTTTTTTTTATAATGATAAGAGCAAACAAAATTAGAAACTCAAATTCTTCCCTCAAATCATAATAATTATTTATACATTAAATATCATGCTNATCTCAATAATTTCTTAAAACTTTATTTAGAATTTTCAAGTATGATAATTTTGTCTATATTTGGACCCCATATTCCTGGATCATATTCACCTAGACCCATTTTAACAAGCAAATACTTTCAACATTTCAAAATTCCATTATCAGGCAAACGATGATAATGGCATTTCGAAATGACATCATTATCATCATTTGCCTGACGATGACATTTTGAAATGTTGAAAGTACTTGCAAGTATTTAATTTTTTCAAGTAAACAAGTTTAATGGCAAAAGACAGCATATTTCCTTCATATAAATGAGTGACATATCAGATGACATGATATAACTAAGTTATCTCTCCACCTGTTTGTTTGACATATGTTAAATAAGTATACTACAGTACTACATTCACAAAAGTATATTTAATAGATGTCTAAAATTAAAAATATTATTAATGCAATTAATATATCATATAATAATGAACTCAATATAAAAACGTTGATTTTAAACAATACTTACAGAAGTTGTGGAATTCACATTTGCACCATGTTGTAAGAGAAACCTAACCATATTTATTTGACCAAAATGACAAGCCACATGTAAAGGTGAATATTCAGCCTTTGTTTGTGGATCAATTTCTGCACCATTTTTAACTAATATTTCTGCTACATTCACTCTGTCTTCTTGAGCACATAAATGCAAAGGTGTCAGCCCATTCTATACATTAAAAAAATTAATAAATTAAAAGATAATGATATTTTGCCAACATAAATGATTTACAAAATATTGAAAACTATCACCATTTTATGGAACTAAAAATTAAATTTATGAATTCAGTAATAAAGTTTTAAATAACCATACATACCAAATATTAATAAAAAAGGATAGTTTATATCACTGTCTGTCAATGTTATGTAAAAATAATTTATTTTGTGAATAATTTTAATGGTATATAACTGTTCTCTTCAGACAGAATCATTCATAAGAGCAGTGTTTCCCAAACTTTTGATATCTGTGAACCCCTTCTATAATTTTCGTAACACCGAGTACCCCTTGTCAAAAAAGAATTGCATATACTTTAATAACAATCAAAATATATTTATTTTTTCCCTTTTTAGTACATAAACAAAATAATAAGTAA